GAGCCTTGGCGTTACCCAGCGAGCTCATTGTCCACATATTTTCCTTCCTGTCAGACCGAGACAAGCTCCGGGCCTCGGCCGTGTGCTCTCGCTGGAGGGAGTGTCTCTTCTACCCTGCGCTGTGGACGGAGCTCAAGCTGCGCGTCGGTGGAGGAACCAACGGCGGCGGCTCTGGGTCAGAACAAACCCCGCGATTAGAGTTCCTCATGCGCAAGTTCGGCTCGTTCGTGCGGGAGCTGCAGCTGGAGTTTGCCCCGGTGGACGGATACTTGAGCCCGCTGCAGCGCGGAATGGAAGCCGTCGAGTGCGACCCGCAGTTCGCGAAAGATGCGATGGTGACATATTTGGATCAGGTTTTGTGTGTGCTCGGCAGTCTGCGTAATAACAGGTAGCTATATGGATTTGGGCTCGATTTGCAAGCATTGACAATACAAATCCTTTCTGTCTGCTTTGCTTACATTTCATCAGCAGCCATAAACAAACCCTGCGCATTACGTAACGCTCATGTCTGAAGCATCGCATGGCTGCCTGCTTCGTGCATTAGCAAACTGCGATCACTTCTATGACAAGCACAACTAACGTTAACTACTATCTATTTTTGTAGCTCGGAATTTGTATCTCATAATACTTTATATGCAATCCAAAAGCGATTCTCCGTATCACTATAGTGAGGATGCTATTCCATGTTACTAACAAATTGCATTTTCTTGGCCATTGAGTTCTATGAGGATCTGTGTTTCAGATATTAATCTTAAGATATTTTCTCTTTTCAGTTAGTCTGTTTACATTGTTGCTGGTACTTATTTCTGTTTAACTTCTAATAACGTCAAATATCTATTGCAGCATTAGTAACCTTACTTTAGTTGATTCTAGTACATAATTTTAAGACATCTCACTTGTTACTAGTGTCTTTTTATCTGCTTATAATTGCTCATTTGTCGCATGTAATTAGTTTGAATGACTATAGTTAAATTAAACGTCTGAGTAATAAAAACTAATTACATTAAAAATGTTTCTACGGCTGGATAGATGGATAAAGATGGATGGATGGAGATTAGTGTCTGTTCAGTTGCTATGTAGGTAAGCTAGCCTATAGTATAGTAGTACCTAATGATTATTAGTAAAACTGTTATAGAATTAATAGAGCAACTTGGATGAATTCTAATGTAATCCACACATTCTTAATTAAAAAAAATTGGGTTTAGTAACAAAGTGAATTTGTATCTAATGAATATTTGCTAGTGAAATTGAAAAACATCCTGAACACTATTGGATTACTGGGGCAAAATAAGCATTTGTAACACTAGCAATAGATACCAGTTGATTCTAAGGAGTAAAACTGCTGGCTAAACTCCCACAGGCCTCACTGCATTGTTAACATTCTAACAGAATCTTACAAAACAATGTTTAAACAACACAGGCTTTGTTTTTCCTGCTCTTCATAGATGTTTCCTGAACCTACAATTCAGTTTATTTACAATAGAAAAGCAGAAGGACTCATAGCCCAGAACTTGCCATGTAAACTATAGGCTTTAGTTTGAAATGTGTGAAGAACAGAAAAAAAAGAGCTGATTATAGCTTGTTTGGTGAAGCGAGAGACTTTGATTATTGGTTTGAAAATAAATGCATTTTCCAAATTACTTGTATCATGCTTTTATTTATTTACTTATTTTTGGCAGTCATTTAATGGGGTTAATTTGACTTATATACACTCATCAAATAGGAAAATAATTCAAGTCCCATACTATATCCTGTTTACATTGGCAAGACATAAAGCTGAAAATTCCTCTTTTTTTTTTTACCCTCCAGAAATCTCCAGAAGCTGAGTCTCTACGGGGACACATGCATTCTTCAGGATGACGGGATTCTGGACAGCTCTTTTCTCAGCCAGGTCGACCAAGGGGCAAGAAGATGAAA